GGTAGGAGGTTGCTACAAGTTTTGAGGCCAGTGTGGGCTACATAGGGAGTTTAAGGCCAGCCTGAACTACATAATGAGACCCTGCCCCCACATAAAAGAAATTAAAAAACAAAAATTCTGTGTAATAATTCCCTTTATGCCTCTTACTCACATGACCTGAAAATTCTTTTTCCATGATGGAAGTCAGTGAATTTACAATCTATTTACAGGTAGAATGGGTTTAGGTTCTTCATTACACTTTGGGAACCCCTCAGGGCCCTGTCTGGTGATAGATCCACCTCACCTTGCTCATGTGGCCGTCCACATTCCGCTAGTGGTAAAGCAGGGCTGCTCAGCTGGGATGGCTGGGGCTCCCATCCCGGGCTGCTTCATAGTGTGGTGATTGCAGGGTTCCAAGGTGGTGAGACCTGGGCTGCAGAACTCATATAACATCACTCCTACTGTTACCTTGGGTTATGGGCCCTGGGGATGGGCTCCTGGGTTCTTGTATGCCACAAGGAACTGGACATACCACATGTGACAAGCAAATAGTGGTGAAGTTTATTAAGATGAAAGTATGCTCCGAGTGAGTGGGCTTGGGCCAGTGAATGGAAAATGGCATGGGTGCTGAGAACACAGGGTGTAGAGGTTTAATCTCCCACTTGCTTTAAGGCACCTCCTACTTCCTCCAGAGCATGAGTGACAGGTGCTGTCATGCTTACTGTGTCTTTTGTGCACATCTTTTCCCATAATTCACTCTGTTATAATCGTATATATAAGATGCAGTTCATATACATGGTCTTTCAATAAGCACCAGGGGAAAAATGGTTACTCTGGGTCATGCAGTGAGGTCTAGTGCACATGCATCTTGACTTGAATGTTTTAGAAGTCTTTTGAGCAGGTTTAGGGTCCTGTTGCCCTTGTTTCCACCACCTGTGGTAAGCCCTAGGGCACCGCCCGGGTTCTGGTAGGAGTGGTCCCCAAAGGAGTGCAGGGGTCCAGTCCCATGGCCCACAATTGTTCTATATTACTACCACATTTCGTTGGTCAAAGTATCATCAGACCACCCCAGGTGCCAAGGGTGAGGAGTTGTTCCAAAGATTCATGCTCATATTTACCCTATCACATGGATCTTGAAGATAGTAGGTTTTCCTAGCAGGCAAAAGGTGTAAAGAGGGTGAGGGCATGCTGAGGTGAGGGACAGAGAAGGAATAAGTGAGATGTGTCTGGGAAACATTCAAGGTTTAGTATAATTTGAGGGATAATTACTGGGAGTGAAGGTGCAAAGACAGATTTAGAAGTACCCTGAAAATGGCCATGAATTTCATACCTGGAGTTTTAATTGATCCTTTGAAAATTCTCTGAAATGCTTATTTTTGAGTCCACTGTTGCCGAGTGTGGTGACCCATACCTGTAATCTCAGCACTTTGGAAGACTGAGGCAGGATCAAAATTTTGAGCCCAGGGGCTGGGGATTTAGCTTAGTGGTACAGCGCCTGCCTGGCAAGCGCAAGGTAGTGAGTTCAATTCCCGGTACCGGAGAAAAAACCAAAAAAAAAAAAAAAAAATTTGAGCCCAGCCTGAGCAACTCAGAGATCTAAAAAGATCCTATCTTAAAAAGAAAGGGCTGGAGATGTAGCTCGGTGTGAAGACTCTGGACTCAATCTCTAATACGAGGATAACAAAGTCCCCTGTAGCATCCCCTACTGGAGGCCAGCACTTCAGCATGGAGGTGAGCCAGTGGAGAGCTGTGACCTAGGCCTGACTGGGCAAGGGCTGTCAGAATACTGGGGGTGGGGGGCGGTCATAGCTTGGTGGTTTATTGGGTATTCTCTGAGAATGTTCACTTCTCAGTCTCCCTGTACTTGGGCCAGTGAATGGAAAATGGCATGGGTGCTGAGAACACAGGGTGTAGAGGTTTAGGTGGTGCCTCCTTTAGAGGTTTAAGGTGCTTCCTACTACTACATTCAAATCAAGATGCATGTGCACTAGACCTCACTGCATGACCCAGAGTAACCTTTTTTCCTCTGGTGCTTATTGAAAGACCATGTATATGAACTGCATCTTATATATACGATTATAACAGAGTGAATTATGGGAAAAGATGTGCACAAAAGACACAGTAAGCATGACAGCACCTGTCACTCATGCTCTGGAGGTAGTAGGAGGTGCCTTAAAGCAAGTGGGAGATTAAACCTCTACACCCTGTGTTCTCAGCACCCATGCCATTTTCCATTCGCTGGCCCAAGTACAGGGAGTTTGGTTTGGGTGAGAGAATGAGAGGTAAGGCTGAGGCGGGAGGGGCCAAGTGTGTTCAGAGGATTAGGGAAGCCTGCAAACTTACTAGTAACCTCATTGTGGGTGAAGATGAAAATGGCTGGGAGCCCAGTTAAATCCAGGAGCAACTCAGCGCAAGAGCAGGCTCAGGGAGGGACTGGATAACATTCCTCCCCAAACTAGATCCTACTCATATTTGAGAAGCTAGGACCTGGCACCGAGTGGACATTTCTAAAGGCTGCCTGGATGACTGACTGAATTTTAACTCGTTTTCTTCAATCCTCTAAAACATACATTCTCTACAGTAGGAATGCCTTGAGAAATTCAGGGATGAATTGAAGTGCTAAGAAAATTCAATGGGGGTAAGGCCATGGGAATGCAATGAAGACTTTAGGAGAGACAGCTGTGCCCTCTTTAGGACATTTCTGCAGTGGTCAGGGAGGAACTTAATTGGAGGGAACTTTGTGTGTGTGTCTGTGTGTGAAAGAGTGTTTTGGAAAGGTGTGTACTGTACTGTTCAGAGGCATAATTAAAGTAATCCTGCTTTTCAGCTGTCTCCTTTACAGTGAGTAGTGTAGAAAGTCTTGGCCCAGTGTCTGTTCTGCCACCTTAGTCAGAAAAATGAGGGTGAGATGGAAAGAACTTGTCCACTCTCCAGTCTCAAGAGCTTTCCAAATTCAAATTCTTCATATGGCTTTCAAAACAATATGTGACTCAATTCCCAGACACTCTTGCTTCCTCTGCTGTAACTAGATGTTTTTTCCCATCCCTCATTCCTATCATCCTTCAGTTCCTGACACAGATGCTCACCTTCAGATCCTCCCTAGTTTAGGCCCTGCTGTACACTCTTGGAGCCCTCTACTCCCTTCCTCCTTGACATCTCAAGTGTAACTGGCAGAGGTATTCATTAGACACCACAAGGGATGATCATAAAATATGAATACTTAAATTAATTTTATTACAGTAAAAGACACATTGCTCCTAATTCCCCTCAAAATATTCCCCCTTGCTTTGAAGACGTGTACTCCATCATTCTTGCAACTTTCTGAAGCAATTGTGGAAGTTCTCATTTATGAGTGTCATTAGCTGCACCATCATGGCTAAAGCTATAGCTAGGCCACCCCACCAAGGGAGAGAGGGCTTGCTTTCTCTCTTACATAGACAGATCCATTGAAAATAGATTATAGTCCAGCCAAAGGTAAGGGTGGAGTGGGGTAGGGGAGGGGGGCTGAAAGGGCACTCAAGAGTATGCTAGAAAGAGGTGCAGAGTGAGCTCATAAAATTGGCTAAATCAAACAACAGGTGCCTATTCGTCGGTGTGTGTGTGTGTAAAGGTGGTTACAGAAAGGTGTGTACTGTTCAGAGGTACATTTAAAGCTCTTCTAAATCCCAGGTTCCTTGTCATTATCCTTTACACAGAGCACAGCCCAGACTGCAAATTCACTTCTGTGTTCCGTCAGGCAAGGAAGGATTCCTGGTTCAACTCCTGTCAGGATCTATCTGTTGACCCAGGCAAACTGTTCCGCCCTGAAGCACAAAGAAAGGATGAATTGGTGGATCAACTATATGGCTGGTCATCAGTGACTCAAACTACCTACTCTAGCAGGAGTTAGGAAAGTTAATATTTGAAGAGCTGTGGTTTAGCAAACTAGGTGGCAAGATGCAGGAAATTCAAATTTGTAGAAGACTTATCAAGGATGGAAACTGTAGACACATATGGCCTACATAGTACTTAATGTAAAGCTGGAAGGGTCATGTGTTTACTCCAGAGCTCCTAGAGTTGAGGATGATGTGTACTTACAGATCACAGAGGTTTAATGAACTGCAAAGTTACAGTCTTTTAGTGTGTAACTTAGCCAGGACTGGAGTAGAAATAATTTATCAGGAGTCCAGTGGCAACCGCCCAGTGTAATTACCGAATGTCTTCTCCAGGAGAAGGGTCACTGCTAGCCAGTACTCTTCCCTTAAGCAAATCTGCAAGAAGGTGGGTCTCTTGTATTTTGGTACTATTCTGGCAAGCTGAGCACAGGTTAGATTTTAACGCTTCCTTTCCTCACTCATTTTGTGCCTCTGTGCAGAGAACAAACTGTACTACCATGTAGGTAGCCTTCCTATTTTCTTTTTTTTGTGGGTACGAGGAATCAAACTCAAACTTGTGCTTGACAGGCAGGTGCTGTGCCACTGAACTACATCCCCAGTCCTGCCTTCCTTTTATATGTATAGATATTTTAGATATAAACCAGGGATAAAATATTACAAGTTTTAATCAAGATAATATCATTTAATATTTTCCCCGCAATAGTTAACGAATGCTGAAATATAGCGTAGATTATTGCAGATTAGATAAAAAATACTACTCTACTTTTGCTAGAAAAATGAGTATGGCACAGGCAAATCAAATATGAAAAGTAATAAGCAGATTTGATATTACCTGAGAATGGTTACTTCCTTGTAAAGTTTTGATACAATCTACGTTTATTAAATAATTGCTAGTAGAACAAACATCTGCAAAAATATGAAACTAGAAAACGTTAGCTTGAATAGGTTACCTGTTGGTCACAAGTGACTCAGAAATATTAAAAGTATAGAAATGCTTGACAGTAAACAATGCCCAATAAGCACATTAAACAGGAATTGATAATGGTCTCTTCTCTATTTTCTTAAAAGACTAAACTTATTCACTTGTATGAATGAGTTAGCTCTAAAAAGAAAAGTCCCCCCCCAAAAAAACCAGAACTAATTGTGTGAAGGACACAAAACTTTTCCTTTTATTCATGACCACAATAGTGTATTTAGCCTTGACAACTCCCACACAGCAATTTTATGACATGAAAAAAAAAATAGCCGAAGCAAAAGATGAATGCAACTAGCATTTTGGATTTCACAGTATAAAACAGAATTCCTTTTAAAATGAAGACAATATCATAGAACTTCCTCACAGTAATTTTTCCTTAGAGGTTTAGGCACTTTGGAGTAGGCTGTTGCCAGTCTAGTAGAAATGATGTGAAAAATAATTTTATAGCATGAATATTATAGTCCTATGATTACACTGAACAAAGAACTGAGGGATGTCTTATGAAATATTTTCATTCTGACAAATGTACACTAGAATTATCTTGCAGAGAAATGTGGATGGGCATTACTATACTTCCACACTCATACTATGTTTATTTGCTGATGGTCTAGAGCAGGGGATGCAAATTTTTAAGAGCCAGAGCGTGAGAATATGCAGTTTCTAGCTCATATTTTTCTTTCTGTTTGTTTACACAATACTTTCAAAATGTAAGTACCATTCTTACTTTGCAGACTACACAACTGTAGACTGGATTTGGTATTTGAGCTATAGTTTGCCAACCCTTGGTCTAGAGGCCTTTGACATTATAATACATTTTCTCATGGGCACAGATGATCTCAGAATGAATATTTACAGAGAACTGTATTCATATGTTTAAAAGATTTCTCTAATGTGTTTTGCTGCAACATTAGATCTGACATTGCCAGCAAAGTTTTGGAAGCTGTATGCAATTCTGTGAATATTCAAGTTACTAATGACTAAATCTAGTTCCAGTATCAACACTTCAAAGCACTGAGGCAGGTCACAATGAGCAGAGCACAGAGTATGACATGTGGTTGTTGCTATCATACTGATGGCTGCCGAGGTGAAGAGAACTGGGGCGGGGGTGCAGAATTTTAGGTCACTTTGCAGACCTGTATTTTAATTTTTTGATTTGGGTCTTAGGATTTTCTAGTGTTAAAAAATACGGTCATCAATAATATGATCATTTGATGATCAATCGTTACTAGCTGCCAGTCTAACCAGGCTGTGATCTGCTGTATTTAAGGATAAATGAAGACTTAAGAAACAGTATTACATGATTACAGTGCATTAAAATGAGTCAATACTGCTTTAGCTTTTACTCCAAATGGCTGAATGGGCATCAACAACAGCAGAAATTCTGCAGCTAACGATACTTTTCCAGGGTGCTTCCGCCTTAGCTGCTCCGATAGCCTCGCAGAGGAAGGACATGCCTTGATGAAACTTGTTATCCCTCACAGTTTCTACTTTTCCTTCAATGTTGTCAAAGTTTAATGCCCAGGACAAAAGAATACAGTCCAAAGCCAGAATTTTATCTTTAGTGTGAATTTCAAGTGAATAGTATCATTATATGAAGTTGAATGGGCTGGCAGTTTTGGAGAAATAGTTATCTGGTGGCATGCTCATGCAGACCTCAGGAACACCAGCAACTCCCCCACTGCCAACAGACAAGGTCTCTCTCTCTCTCTCTCTCTCTCTCTGTCTGTCTCTCTGTTTCTTTGTTCTAAAACAATGTGCAACAAGTTTTAAACACCATTTTCACTTGGGAGGCTGAGAAGAAGATTGCAAGTTCAAGACTAGCTTGGGCAACTTAATGCGACCGTGTCAAAAACTAAAAAAGGCTGAGGCTGCAGCTCAGTGAGAAGGCCCTGGGTTCATCCCCACCACTGACCCCCTCAACCCCCAACCCCCAACCCCCAATAAGTCAGCACTGAACCTAGGCATGGGGTTCATATCTATAATTCTAGCACTTTGGAAGCTGAGGTGGAGGATCTGGAGTTCAAGTCCAGCCTGAACTATCTAAGAAGATCCTGTCTCAAAAATAAAACAATAAAAACAAATACAGCATTGAAATTTTCCAGTCTGATGGATCACGATGACGTAATTCCTTTTTTTTTTTTTTTCATTTTATGCTTCCTGCCATGAAGGGTTTTAAGTATATTTAACTAAATTTTTGTTATTTGCAAATGGTTAGGGCTCAGTGAATAAGCTGTCATTTTAGACAATGAAAAAAAGGCAAAGTGGTCAAGCTAGTTACATCACTGTAAAAATTAAGCAAAATGTTAAGACAGAGGTAGATCTGCCACACAGATGCCAATTCTGATTATAACTGATTTTCTTGGAAATATCAGTATTATACAAATGCTTATCCAGTAGTACCTCACAAACCACGAAAGAGTTCTGTCACTTAAATGTAGAGTTGGGAGATTAAATTTGTAACAAATAATTGCTTTCAAAAGCAAAGTAATATGGAACCCACAGGACTCATAAGAAAGCCTTGTAAATTACTGCACACACTTGGGAGCATTAGCTAAGTTCAGAAGGAGCTGGCATAATAGTATGTAATAGATTGTAATTTTTACAGGCTCTTGAAATTTCCATGCACTGTGTATTGAAGTTTCTTTGACTCATTTCTCTCTTTAGTGTAAGAACTCTCTTTGTATAAGGAAAGCCTAGATGGTCCTGGAATTCTCCATTATGGCTAAATCATTATATATGAACTACTTCTATTAAACCAAATGCCACTCTTTGGGTTCCTATTTACAGATTATGAAAAAACAAATGATCTTTCTGGTAATTATCAATCATCAGGGGGTGAGGATATTTTATGAAGGTGCCAAATTTGGGAGTGAGTAGGCACAGTGATCAATAAGATTAACACAAACATCTTTCACCTAATTTTCCCTTTTAAAAAAAGTCAAATTGGTTTCAGTTTTCTAGAGTGAAAATGGTAATACAGAATATTCAAGTGTGCAAGCAAATGGCCTCTTTTATATCTTCACAAAGTATTAATGTTTTCTAAAATGTAATTTGTTCTGGGTTTATAGATGGTCATCTCTTACATCTGGTGAGATGCAAACAAACCATTATTTGCTCAGTAGAAAACAGGTTTCTGTACATTTTAGTTAACAGGAAGCATTCTAAGCAAACAGAAGGGTGGGCATTTAACCTTGTTATGTCTATGTATAATCCAAGAAGGGAAATCAAAGCCATGAATGTGAAAGTGAATCCCACATAACACAGTCTTGAGTGTATCACTTCAGTTTTAGTAACAGAGCTACTGTATGAGGCACAAACTAACTTGGAAAATCAAACTATGGTTTCATCTCTGTTTTCTGCTCAAAACATCTAAAATGTTTTACCCTGAGCTTTCACGCTATCTGTCCTCCCAGAAGAAATAAAGATCTTTAAGGAATTGGCTGCAGTCTTACATATCACTCACGGATGCAAATACCTCAGGACTATTTTATTAAACAATTGACTCTGGGTGGTGGTATTTGAATTGACATTAAACAAACTGCTCTAAATGGTGTCAGTCTCAGGGCAAATTCCATACTTAGTCTGACTTTAACACTGCAGAAATTCTGTCTTACAAATCCATATTGTCATGAAGGATGTGGCTTAATGTTCCTACTTAGGGATCTTTATACAGAAGAATATTTCAACCTTACAAAAATATAATGGTGTAAAACAAATGAACTAACTAAAAAGTAATAATCCAAAGTATTACAAGTGAACATAGTTGGAAGTCAGGATCTTGGACCAAAATAGGTTTGTTTTTGTGTACTGGGGATCAAACCAGGACCCTGTGTATGCTAGGCAAGTACTCAGTAGGCAAGTACTGAGATACACTCCAGAATTCCTTTCTATTTTTTGAGCATCTTACTAAGTTGTCCAGGCTGGCCTTGAACTCATAAACCTCTTGCCTCAGCCTTCCAAGTAGCTGGGATTACAGGTATGCACCACCTCACCCAGGTAACAAACCATGGAAGTAGCTCATAAGTCTGCTGGACACTGTCACAGTTGAGCTGCTATGTGCTTACTGTACAGTGTAGTAGTATACAGTAGTAGAGAACAGTTGAGGACTTACTGTATTTTTCTGTGTGCTTTTGGTCTTTTTATGTTTTATATTGTATGTTTGTGTCAAAGGTGTATAAGGCTTACTTTGTCTGACTTACGAAGAAATCCAACTTACAAACCTTCTCCTAGAACAGGGACTTAATCAGCTCCTTTTTTTTTTTTTTTTTTGGTTTTTCTCCGGTACCGGGAACCGAACTCACGACCTTGCACTTGCCAGGCAGGCGCTTTGCCGCTGAGCTAAATCCCCAGCCCCTCAGCTCCTTTTTTTTTGTGAAAAATAATTCACACTGTTATACACTCAAATTGGAACTAGCTGCTTTACAATTAGATTTTACTGCTATTTCTTAGCACTCTAATTTTTGGCTGTTTTGCAAGTTGTAAGTTACAGCTGTTCTCAATTTTTATCTATTTCCCTTAAAAAATGACGCTGAAGATGGGGGTATAGATCGATAGCACAGTTACATGTGCAAAGCCCTAGGTTTGACTCCCCCAGCACTACAAAGAAAATAAAAACATAAAAATTAAAAATGATGAGCAGATATTTTAATAAACTTTATGTAATGCGGATCCTCACCATTTTACTTCAGTTAATTTGACATACTTCCCTGGGCATAACCATGGCTTCTCTCAAAACTGGAAAACACTGCATAATGTAAAAAGTCTTAGTTTTATGACATTCCTTGATAACTTCAAATAAATTAGGCTAGAAGGGTAGAATATAAATAGGCTAGATCACCAATTATGTTTGCCTTAACATAAAAACAGTGGCAATTTAAAGATCTGCCAAAGGAGACAGAGCGGCTACCTTTCATTGGCTGAAGGTGTAGCATTTTCTAGATGCCCTGGTGGAGCTTCAGGAACAATACTAGATCCCTTGTTCTTATTTGTTCCATCTGGTCTTACACCAAGAGCTCACAGCAAATCCTGGGAAGTGACAAGTCTAGAACCTAGTAGTAGCTCTGCACTTGTTTATGATACTGGGTCTAGCGCTGAGATAGACAGTGGAAAAACTGCCTAGAATCCCATGACTAGGTTTTTGTTTTTTGTTTTTCTTCTTTAAATCTTGGAAAACCATCCAAGAGGTTAACATGACAACAATATAAATCAAGGCTGACACAGTTAAATGCTGGCTCACAGGTGCTGACTATCTGGACATCAGGCTTTGCCAGTCCTTACTGTTTTCCTTATTTAATAAAATATTAGAAAAGATATAATTTACGTGCAATCCTTATCAAAAAAGAGAAAAAAGTTAATTTCTTATGACCAGCACAAATTGTTAACCTGTTAAGAAAAGCCCAATTTCCCTAGCACTCTACAAAATAAATACACATCATATCTGTTTCTTTACAAAGACCTTAGGATGAGGATGAGAAAGACAAGTAAGATAAAGCCAGGAGCAAAACACCAACCAGGATCCATTCCTCATTCTCTGTATGGTTGGTAGTATTAGTTGGAAAGTCACTCCTCTGTTGTGATGGTCATGGTGTATTTGAGTATGTAGATTTTTAGGGATTTCTTATCATCCTGCTAGGCGTATGTAGGTATTTTTTGCTCTCTTTGTAGAATAATCATCAGTGCTTCCTGAGAGGCTCAAACATGATCACTGGCCAGATTCCAAAGAAAAACTGTGAAAAATAAGTTAGGACAAAATGAGAGAAAATTGCGCTATGTTGTTCCTGAAAGGAATAAGAAAAAACCCCCACTGGGCTGTGACCCTATTGTGTGGCAGGATTGCTAGTAACTGTCCCGGTTTTACAAGGACTAACCACAGCATACTCCTTCCAGACTTGCACCAGATCTTGGACACCATTTTCATTTATAAATGTATTAAGCATCTATAAATGTGTCAAGCATGGAAATGTACATTTAATCTCTAATCCCTAAAACTATGGAATCAAGCTATTAGTAACTCCATTTTACTGTTTAAGGAACTCAGGTTTAAAAAAAGAGACTTGTCTGAGATCATGTAGTCACAAATGGAAGACGTAAGATTCATTCCCTCCTGGTCCAAAGGCTGTATTTGCTCCACAACCCCTTTCTTCTCCTACATCCATCCCATCCTCCCAACACCCTCCCTGCCAACACACATGCATGCGCGTGTGCACACACACACTCCCCTAGGATGTAGACTTACTTTCACTTTTGGCCTGTATCTCAGGTAAAGTGTTCTTGTATATAAGCTGAAAGAGAAGGGGAAAGGGAAAACTCTTCAGGCTAATTTTTAATCCCTGCAAACTGGTTTACTGACAAATTTAACCACAGTGCCTTTGTACATATAAAGAAAAAACAACATTGGTATATCTTTTCTTCATTCAGTAACTATGTTTTGGAGTACCTTCTCTGCAAAACACTTGGGAAGATACTAAGGAATGCAGGGAAATGACCTCAGGATGTTTATAACTTAGTAGTGACCACCCCATTAAGGCGTGGTATGATTCGTATCACACTACTGATTCATATCCTTGCTTGAGGATGAGAAAGCTGAACATGACTGTGTACTACTCTGCCATAAAAGGAGAAATTTGAGTCATTTGTAGGAAAATGGGTGCACCTGGAGACCATAATGTCAAGTGAGATAAAGAGACACAGGAGCTTAAATATTACATGGTTTCTTTTATCTGAGAAATCCAAAGTATAAATAATTTAAGAAGCAAAATAAAAGACAGATGACAAGAAACAGGGACAAGATCTTTTGCAAATGGGAAGGAGAGCAAGAGATGGGGGCAGATGGAGAAAAGAGAGGGGAAGGGGAAATACAGAGAATTAAGATGAGTTACGTACAGGTATCAACTCCCCATGATGAAGGTAATCATTATGTGCTGCAAATATGTATAAAATTAAAAAATTAAAAATAAAACCCAAACAAAAGGGACTTCTTAATGTCAGCCAGTGTCAGAGGCAAAATTGGAACACAAACTCCTGATTCTGTCTCTAACATTTTATACATAAACCATCCTATTCAAAGGAGAAAAAAAGTAAAACACCTCTAATACCAGATTTAAGTGTTTCATACCTGAAAAGGATATGAAGATAGGAGCCAAGGCCAGTTAAAATATGCCACCATGCGTGAAACTGTGTGGTAACACCTAGGATAGGTGGCATCTTCTTTCGGAAGTTCCTATGGGGGGGATGGATCACCATGTTAAATGCTGACAGTGTTAGAGCATTCTGAAATACCATTCTTAAATATGTAAATTACTTAATTTCCCTCTGTCTGCTGTGTTGCTTTTCACAGTGTATTCTGAGAAATACATTTCTACTAGGAACTTCTACTAGAAATAGCTATATTCAAATTAATGTAGGAAACATTATAGAGTTTACTGCTCTTTTAAAAAGATTTTTAATGTGTAGTAATAGATTAAAGACTTTGAAAAGTCCTACCATAATTAAAGGAGTTTATCTTCATTTTTTTCAGGTAAACTACTAATCCATGGAATTTATTTTTTCAGGTAATACTTATTATCACTTCACGGAGCAAGTATTTTCCAGAATTCACCTTGGGAAACACCTATCTAATTAGCTATTCATTTGAGAAACGATATATGCTTTTCTCATCACCTTGGTATAGTACCATATGTTCTATAAAATCCTTTAATATCTGTCTGGTGTGGTGGCACACACCCGCGTTTAGGAGGCTGAAGCAGGACTGCTGTGAGTTCAGGCCAGCCTAAGGTACATAGTGAGTTCAAGGCCAACCTGTGAGATTCTGTCTCAAAAAAAATCATTTAGTATCTATTATTTCATCTCATAGTCAGTGATTCTTTAAGGAAGCTATTATTAGCTTTGCTTAACATTAGGAACTTAAAATTCAGGGTTAATTGAGCCACTCAACTTAGCTAGTGGCACATTGAGACCTCAAAAAAAGATCCACAGATTTCTTTGATTAAGTGTATAGATGATCTTAACATTTCTTAGAGGAGAAAAACCAATGTGACATGCCAAATTATTTTTCTAGATACCCTCATGGATTTTTGAAACAGTTATCATACCTAAGAGCCTGCACTGTATGCAAGTGGATCTCACCCACGGGATGATGATCTACTCAGCAGTATCAAAGCTCTACTGGGGTTCTACTGGTTATTCCTGATTTAGAATCACACACTTAGATCTCAGTTTTCTAGGTGAGGTGCATTATGTGTTTGTCTACTCTTAAAGTCTAACTTTAATTAATGTTTTACTATGAATTTCACACATGTGCAAAAGTAGACAAAAAAAATACATCTGTTACCCAATGTCAATGATTATCAATTTATGGTGAAGTCTATGTCGTCTAAACCTTTATCAACTTCCCCCTCCCACATTACTCTGAAGTAAGTCCCAGATAGTGTATCATTTTATCTCTAAATATTTCAGCATGTATCTCTAAGAGATAAAAACTTCTCAAAAGAACACTTCTTTTAAATATGACCATATAACCACAATACCATTTTCACACCTGAACTAAATAATAATCCCTTAATATTACCAATATTTAATTTATTGACCAGAGTTTCAAATTTCCCATAAATTTTTATTTTTGTTTTTATAGTTGGTTTATTTGAATTGGGATTCAAAAAGGCTAACTCTTTTCATTTGGTTAATATATCTCTTATGTTTCTTGTCCATATGTCCTATTCCTTCCCCCACCCTACCCCACTCCTGTGGTTTATTTACTGTAGAGATCAGGTCATTTAACCTATAATTTCCAGTCTCAATTTTGCTGATTCAACACCATCCTGTGCTGCTATTCAATACATCCCTTTGTCCTCCACATTTATGCAGAATTGTTAGGTCACAGATTCTTGAGATGGAATAACCCATTAATTTAATCTACTTAATACACTCACTTTAGGAAAGCTAAGGCCAGAAAGATAGTATATCTGGACAAAAGTCCAGAGCCCTAAGTTTAAGATTCAAACTTTTCCATACATAATTGCTGATAAGATGCTAAAAAGAACAATAACCTTTCTTAGAAAAAAACATTAACCACACCAAAGTGAAAATTTATATACATGTATTTCATATGCTTGTTACAAGTCATTTTTTTTTACAAATCATTTTTATTTACTCAGTGAAGCAGATTAGTCATGTATGAAAGATGTGGTCAAAATGAGACTAGTATACAGTTCTATGGTGCATACACACAAAAGACCAAAGCCTTCAGAGATAATGAAATACTCTCAGGCTCAAACTTTTAGGTTATTTAAGCAGGTTATTTCCAGAATTTAACTTTATTGTGCTGTACTTCTAAATGTCAACACTACAAGAAATTCATTTTAGGGCACTGATATTTCTACATGTCTATGAAATTCTGCTTAGTAGAATGCATCCAAGAATATTTTTCAAGCAATAAAAATATATCTTACCTCAATGAATCACAAAAGATGTTATCTACGTTCCATAATAAAAATCCCAATAAAAATACACCCAAGGATGTATAACCTAGTCCTCTAAGCCACGGATAAACCCTGTGGAGAAAAAAGAAAGGCAAATTGAAAAATTTGCAAGTCATATCATGATCAGAACTTGAAGCTATCACTTTCATGAGAAGGAAAAGTTTCTATTAGCATTAAAAGAAAAATCCATTAAATTCTTTGATGTATGTGTATTTATACACCACACAAAGATACATACACAGATCCACAGCAACAGGGTCTTCTTATAATTTTATAGCAACAGGGTCTTCTTATAATTGGCCAAATCTGGCCTTGCATTCCTGGGCTCCAGTGATATTCTTGCCTCTACCTCCCAAGTCTGTGTATCTGTCAAATTTTTTTTTTATTTTAAAGAGAATTAAAAAAAACACTACAGGTGCACGCCACCGTGCCCGCCCATTCCCTAGGTACGTCAGTTTGCCTCTCAACTCTATAAACTAGTGGAATCTTCCTTGTTACAGGGTACCACAACTATTATGGATCTACTGCCATCAACTGTGGTGAGTACTCAGTGGGTTCTTTCAACCTAGTAAGTCATGTCCTTCAACTGTAAGGTATTTTCTTGATTTCTTGGGTGTGTGTGTGTGTGTGTGTGTGGTGCTAGGGATCAAACCCAGGGCCTTGTGCATGCAAGGCAAGAACTCTATCACTGAGCCACATCTCCAGCCCTCAAGTTACTTCAATGATTTCTTCCATTTTCTCTGTTCTCTGCCCCACTCCCCTTAAATGCTGGTTCTTTTATTCTGGTTCAACATTATGCATTCAGCAATATTCCTAGAGAGTCTCTTCTATTTTTAGTTTTTCCTTCCTTCCTTCCTTCCTTCCTTCCTTCCTTCCTTCCTTCCTTCCGTCCTTCCTTCCTTCCTTCCTTCCTTCCTTCTTTCCTCCTTCCCTTCCTCTCTATTTTGTCCTATATTCAGAGGAGGTTTTCTTTTTTATGCTAGGGATTGAACACAGGGGCTCAATCACACTAAGCAAGTGCTCTACCACTGAGCTACAACCCCAGCTCCAAAGTGGATTCTTTAACTGGACCTTTCAAACCCTTTAATTCAGTTTCTCATTCTTATCCTGTTTATATTTTTTAATGTTTTAATGTAGATTCTCTGAATCTTCCTTCTTAAAATAGCATCCTATTCTTTGTTGTTTATTTTATTTCATTTTTTTGAGACAGTGTCTGATTCTGGGCTGGACTTGAACTCACTATGTAGCCTAGGCTGGCCTCAAACTCACAGCAATCCTCCTGCCTCAGCATCCCAAGTGCTAGAATTATAGGTATGTGCCACCATGCCCCGCTTAGCATTCTATTCTTGATTCACAGGAACAACAGTACCTGTGGGAATATTAATGAATTAATTTACTATCTCTGATATTTTCTTCTTCCTGCAAAAACTGGCCCTTCCAAGTTGATTTTTTTCTTTTATTGCTTTTTTGGTCTCTATCTTTTATATCTGATACATTTATCATATTAGGTATTGTCTCTTCATTTTTAGGAGTCTAAAAAGGTGATTTTAGACTCTAGGGGTTGATTGTGTCAACTTGGGAAGTTTAGAAGTTTGACTAAACTTGGCTTAGCAATTGGCTCAGCAATTCTACACCCTAGGATGTAGAGGAGCCACCCTACAGTGGGTCATCACCTAGATGATATAAAAGGGAAATGAGGGAGGACAGAGAGGCTTCTGTTCTTCAGAGGAGCGCCAGTCTTCACCTTCAGCTTGGACTTTGTCTCCTGGCTTCTAGTGCAGACTCTCTGGCTTCCACCTTGGATCCTTTAGCCTTCCAGTGTACTTATCTGCCTTCCATCACAGAACCATTGGCCTCCTGATACGGACTTGCTCAGAACACTGCAGTGAACTGCAGACCCTGCACTGAACCCTTTGGCCTCAAGTGTGTAGACACCCTCTGCATGCTTCCTCATCCAACTCTGTGAGTGGCCATCGTAAGCCAATCTTGTAATTTCTTATACATTTGTGTATCTTGTGTTATATTTGTTTCTGATACACAGCCTATGTCTTAAGTCTCTGAACTAGTAATCTTCACTATATGGTTATTTTGCCTGGCTAACAGTTGGGGAATTCCAATATTAGTTTTTTTTTTAATCTTTTGTGTTGTTCCTAAAAGAAGACTCAATTTTCTGCCCAGATCCCATCATCCATTCCACAGCACTGAGCAACTGCAGAAATCTGCATTATCTTTAGAAATAATAAATTATTTATTTATTTAAATTATTTATTTATTTTTTAGCTTAAGTCTTTTATTAACTCTTATATAATTACCTGTTTTCTGGGTTGTTGAAGCAGTAAGTCAGCAAACACTTGCCAAAATAATGTCTGTCAAAGTGGCTGGCCATAAAAACTCTAGCACCACATTCATCTGAAGGGCACTCTCTACGAAGATGACTAATTTTGCCATTTTCACCCTCCTTATAGCATTTTAGGACACCCAACTTAACCTTTCTTTATTCTTATCGTCCTTGGGAGTGGTGTATGGCTTCTTCTTCCTTTTCTTAGCACCACCACGGAGTCTCAACACAAGATGAAGGATGGACTCCTTTTAAATGTTGTAATCAGACAAAGTACATCCATCTTCCAGTTGCTTACCAGCAAAGATCAGCCATTGCTGATCAGGAGCAATTCCTTCCTTATCCTGGATCTTGGCCTTTACATTTTCTATAGAGTCCGAGGGTTCACCCTTGAGCATGATGGTCTTTCCCATAGGGTTTTTACAAAAAATCTGCATGTTGGCAGTGGTTCCACCACACATGGTGGATCCAAAAAGTAAAAATAGTAAATAACTTATCTAGATTGTATTTTGCAAGGTACTGTTGAACATGTGACTACCACACCAAAGTTAAGGAAACTGGGTGATGTTATGTATTTTGAATGCTGAATGCAAAGCCCTCCAGGTGGGTTATTATCACTGAGAGTTCCTGGTTTAGGATTGGCTTTCCTAGGTCAATTTAAGGAAGCTAGTAGTAGTCTACCTTCCAGCTTCTAAAAATTTCTTAGTCTTCTAGGTTATGCCTTTTAATTATTTTTGTTGTAATCATAGTAGGTTTAGAAGGAAGCAAAATTAGATACCAGATTATCTTCAACACTGTATGCTATCTTCAACATTGTATGTTTCACTAATTAATTTCTGCACCATATTACTTCCATTCTTTATTTCTCGTAAGGTTTACTATTTCCTTCCTTTCCTCCCTTCATCTCTTGTTCTGGCGATTGAACCCAGCGCCTTCACACTGAGCTACCTCCCATGCCATTTTTTATTTGTGAGACAAGATTTTGCGAAGTAACTAAGTTGCCCATGCTGGGCTCAAATTTGTGATCTTCCTGCCTCAGATTCCCAGAGTGCCGGGGTCACAGGCATGTACCATCATGCCCAGCTGGTTTCTAGTTCCTGAAGTTACATGCTTAGTTCTTTACTTTTCAACCGATTTCTCATGTAAACATCTAAGATTATACATTTCTTTGAAGAACCACTTTACCTATTCCAGTCTGATGTGCAGTGTTTTCATTGTAATTCATTTCTATGCATTTTTATATTTTCAATGATTTCCTTTTTTACCTCTTGAGTATTCAGCCGTGTGGTAGTTTTTTGTTGTGTTTTTTGTTTGAGACAAAGTCTGGTTATGTTGCCTAGCCTGGCCTTGAACTTCTTGGGTTCAATGAGCCTCTTGTCCCGGCCTTTCCAGTAGCTGGAACTGTAAGTGTATGTCCTTGCAACTAGCTAGCAGTGTGGTTTTAAACTTTGAAACAAGGGGCTTTGATGAATTTTATTGACGTTAATTACCCTGCACCCAGGGAATGTTGTACATGACATTAATTGTTTAAAGTTTGTTAAGTTTGCTCTAAAGCTCATATCTGGTATATTTAATAATAATTCATGAATACTTGAGAAGATACTGACTGTGACAGTTAACTTTTGTGTCAGTTTAAGTAAGAAACACTCAGCTGATTGGATTAACATAGTTCTGAATGTGGCTGAATGGATTTAATGAAGACAGAAGATCCATCCTGGGTGTGAGTGGTACCAGCCACTAGGCTTGCTGCCTGAATGGAATAAAAAAGGAATAGAAGGAAATCTCACTTCCATTTCTTTGGAGGAGTCTTCAGTATCACTTCCAGACTCTCAGCCTTCCAGCTCAGACTCTTCAGCCTTCTAATGCAGATCCTTTGGCTACCAACAAGACTGCAGTGAGCACCAGGTCTTTCACCTTTGGCTGGATCATTCAGCTCTCCAGTGCACAGACAGCCCTTTTGCATCCTTCCACACTTGACACTGTAGGCAGCCACTGTAAGCCTACCTTGTATATCATATATAGTATATATTACTGTATTGAGTCTGTTTATCTAGTGAGCCCTAACACACTGACTTCTACTTTATTTTCAGTGTCGTGCTCAAATCGGCCTTGAAATAGTAATCTTCCTGTCTCAGCTTCCCAAGTAGCTGGGATTGCAGGTACACCACTGCACCTGGCTGCCTATGCATTCTTTAATTGTTGAGAGTATTAGAGCATTTGGTTATTGTGCTACCCAAATTTTGTCTATATCCTTATTCATTTTTTTTGGTCTGAGTCACTGAGATTTTTTTCTGTTACTGAGTTAAAAAAATCTCTGCATAAAAGAATTATCTGTCTTTGTAATTCTGTTGTTTCTTGTAATTTAAATATTTTATTACTGATATAGAAAACATATTTGCTTTAGATAATGCCTTAAATTTTGTTTGTTATTAAAATTTCTAATGAAAATTACTTTTGGATTCAGTTTTTAGAATCCCACTTACCCCTCCATGTTTTTGGAAGATATTATAAAATCCATTACTTTTTTTTAGTGGTTACTGAAAATGCACATAAAAAAGCAGATAAGAACTTTAAGAAAATTTTGGTCACTCTCCTCTATCTTACATGCTATTTTGCCTATCATTTTAGTTCCATTTTGTGTATTTTCAGTCTCTCAAATTATACATTATTATTGTAAGCAGTCACAATATTTTGTTCAAATATTCTCATTGCTTTATCATTTTTTCTTCGTTCT